CCCCCCCCCCCCCCATGACAATACAGCCCCGGGGGAGGGCGAAGGGAGCCGAGCTGCTCCGGAGGCACGGACGACTGCGGCACCGCGACGCACGGCGTCTTTTGGTTTTCCCTACGTTCCCCGCTGCTGGCTGGTGCCAGGGCCCTCAGGACTGAAGCTGGGGTGGATGGCGTGAGAAGAAGGTTGGGACTTTGAGCTACAGCCTCAGCAGGGGCATTACAGACCTTGAACCGCCCCAACCTCCCTGCCAGCCTTCAGTCATGCCCACGCATCCCCCCCGCCGCCGAGTGCTCCCGGCCCAGCTCGCCCGGTCTCCTTACCGTTGATAAGGGGCAACAGCGTCTCTGCCAGCAGGCTGCTGCAGTGGGGCTTCAGGTCCAAGATCTGAACCAGGGAAGGAGCAAGCGCGTGAGTGGCACTGCCGGGCACACGGCGCGGCAAGCACAGCCCGGCACTGCGGGACTGGAAATCGCTTCCCGCTGACACACACGGTCCCTCTTTTCTTTAAAGCGAATCTACTTTTCTTCTTCAGTTTGCATCTTGGCCTTCCTTTGGGAAACCTTCCACCAGGTAAAGCTCCTGCTGGAGCTCCATGCAAGCTTTGCCCGAGCCGGGGTGAACACACAGGCATCGGGCTTGACATGGGCGTTATTAGAAAAAGCAGAAGGGAAGGAAAAAAAAACCCCAGCAAAAGAAGAATTGCCCCGACCTACAAAGCAGAGCAGCCAACGACCAAGACCCCAGGCAGATGCAATCCATCGCAGCCAGGACACGGCTCAGCATCCCACAGCTCCCTCCCCAGCGCAGCCGCGCTCGGGCGCTCTGCCCGCCCAGCAAAGCCCGGGCTGGTACGAGAGACTCACGTTGCTGATGCCGACGTCGGACGACTCCAAGGCGAGGGAAGTGCTGCGGGGAAAGCAAAGTAAAGAGCGCGTCAGGCGCTGCGTGCCCGGCCAGAGCGCGCAGGGCCCCGCCACCTCCTCGGGCAGCGCAGCTCGGCCCGAGGGGAAGGGGTCGGGGGGCAACCCGACGGGGATTGCAGCCTTGGAACACAGAAATCAGGCACTGCCACACGGGCAAGAGAGAAAAGAAAACGGGAAAATAAAAGCAGAGGATCAGCACCAAGAGCTTCACCTGATTTTCATTTGCTCGTAAATGAACCGGCACTGCCACGGGGCACACGCCAGCCCCGGGCTCCCCCTTCCCTCGCCCCCCTAGTCATCGCCTTGGGAAAGGAGCCAGCTCCCGGCTGGCTGAGAGCAGAGCCTCTGGAAACAGGATCCGGTCTCGATTTAAAGATCGCGAGCTCTGGAGCATTTGCTTCAGCGCCCATCTATCACCGCCAGCACCCAACCGTCTCCATAGCTGAAACGGACGCTTTACTTCCACTTTGGACTTCTCTTCCACCTCCACTGGACCTCGTTATATCCTTGTCTATTGAACCAAAAGCCCTTCGATGCGTTCCTACTCCCTGTATCACCGCATGCCAGCTACGCCAACGCTGCTCCTCAAACTAGCTCTTCGACAAGCTAAACGGCCGGAAACCCTCCAAGCCCAGGCGACGGGGAATGCTTCCCACCCTTCCATCGCACCCTGCCTGGCACCAGCGACAGCGCTGCCCTTGGCTCCCTCACCGCTCCGCTCCAACCGCGGACATTTCGGACGACTGCCTGGCTCAAAGTCAGGCTGACAGCCTTGCAGTTATTCAGGTTGCCTCGCTTCTCCTTGATATCAAACTGACACAGGCTTTCCCCCCAGTCTCCCAAAACTTCCCCACTTTTCATTTCCCGAAATTCCCAGGTATGGAATCCTCCCCTTCGGGAAATGAAATGTCTGGTTTACGGACGCTGAAGACCACTTGAAGCCAGCGGCTCCAGAGCCAACGCTGCCGGGCAGAGGACGTCACCCGCCCGCAGGAGGGCAGCGCTGCCCGGCGTGGGCACAGCCCCGGTCGTGCAACCCTCCTGTCCCTTCTGCCACCGGCCAGGGTCACCCGGGGACAGGCCAGCACGGCACGCGGAGCGTCCCTGATGAACCGCAGCCCCTTCCCAGCAAACTGGCCCTGTGCCCCCAGCTCCGGGAGAGCCAGCGTGTCCCCCGTCCGCTTCGGGAGAGCCTACCTGCCCAGGGACAGGCCCAGCACCAGTCTGCCTCCAGCAATGGACACGTGGGCGTTGAGACTGAGGTCCTGCAAGCGGATGGGGAGAGCATCAGCCCGTGGAGATGCCCCCGTCCCAGCTGCCCGCCGCTGGGCTGGCTGCACTCCCCAGCGGTTTGAGGTCTTCACACCCACACTTACAGCCTTCAGGAGCAGGAGGTTGAGGATGGTTCCGTCTAAACGCTTAATGAACACCTGGATCATGGCCGAAAGCTCGACGGTGGCTTTGTTTTCTTCCAAGAGGATGAGTGGGTTCCCAGCCAAAGTTAGCTTAATGCTCAGAGGACTGGGCCCACGGCAGGTGGAGCACTGTGGGAATGGGGGACACAGGGAGGTGGCTAGCTGCGCCCCACACGCTGACCCCCTCAGCCCCATGACCCTGTGGGGCCTCCCCCAGGGTCACATGGGCCTTGGACAAGCCGAATTCACAGAGAAATCGGTCCGGCAGCATAGGCTGGCACCCTAGGGGCGGAGGAAGCAAAGGTGGATGCGAAGGCCATGAGGGGGTGCCCAGGCGAGGGGAGATGCCAGGCACTCATCAGCTCTTTCTGCCGGAGGAGATGTCCCTCTGCCTAGGGAGCAGGAGAAGCTGGGCTACAGCCTCGAGCTCCGCTGGCACGGCTCGGCCGTGGGGCACGCTCAGCGTGGCCCAGGGATGGGGAGCAGAAGACCGAGCGGCAGCACCCAGGCACGTCCAGGAGCATCCCTCGGGTGGGCTCGGACCTGGCAAGGTCTCCACAAACCCTGGCGCCAGCACAAGTCACTCACCCCGGCAGGAATGAGGGTCGCGATGGCTTCCTGCAGGCGGCTGGCACCGGAGAACTGTCAGAACAAAAGCGCAAGCAGCCCCGATGGGCGCTCCAGCCGATTTCAGCAACACCGTCCTGCCGGGGCTGACCCCCCCCTCCCCTTGCATCCCTGTCCGCGCTCCTGGGGCCAGTCCCCGAGCCCTCATTCCCCCAGTGTCCCCAGCAAGGCCCCGGGCAGCTCAGTCCCATGCAGACCTACGTGACAGCAGCGTCCCAAGCCCTCCACCTTCTCCATCGCCCCCCAGCTGCCGGGGAGATCCCTGGTCACCCTTTAAGGGGGGAGCACCCAGTTGTGGGCGGTGTAACCCCCAGGCTTTCAGCATCTGTTGGGGTGTAGACCCCCAGTATTTCCCAGTGGAAGCACAGGTCGGAGGTACAGAAAACGCATACGTCTGGAGAATTGCATTGCGTATGCGAAGTTGTTTTTCTCAGCCACATTTTAAAGGCTCCTTGAAAGAGCTCACAGACCTCCAGGAGTCCGTGGCATAGCCAGCATGCAGCTGGTTTCGGCAGGTACCCCTGGGAGGGATCCCTATACCGACACGGGACCGGCTGGTGGCAAACACCACGTGCTCTTACAGCTTCCCAACGGGCCTGAGCACCCCCAAGCCCCCACGTGCGGCCGCAGGCCC